TTTTAAATTTAATGTAACTAATGCTTAAGACAAATATTTTTTTTTTTTTTTTTTTTATATTTACGCTATCATATAACCAACTATACTATGCCACGTGCATTGCACGTGCATCTTACTAGTAGAAAGAAAAAACACCAAAATTGAGTGGGTTTAGAAATGTAAAAAGTTTTACTATCAGATTAAATTCTGACGAAATATTTACTCATGTATCTAAAGTTGATGGTGGTTGATTTATGAGAATGGATTATGTTAAGGTTTATAAAGTGTTTTGAAGTAAAATGATGAATTATGGATTATACTGTATATTGTTGAAGAGGCATGATTAAAACCTAATTTAGAGCGGGTTATAATGGGGTTGAATTTAGGAATTGTGGTGTTATCACATTAAAGAGACATCGACACTAATCGATCATCAAATTTTAAGGTATATTTTTATTCGAGAGGGTTGAAATTGAAGTTGTGTATATATTATCATTGGATGATATAAAATTAAAGGAAAAGAACACCATATTGAGCTATCTCAATTGTTGTTGGGGATAACTAGAATTTTAAAAACCATGAACAATTGAATTTTGTAAATCTTGTCAATTTTAGAATGGAAGTAGTTATCCTCACATATCTTTTTAGTTGGATTCCAAGTACTCAAAATGGATACAAAATTGTATTTGGATCATTGTTGATAGATCGACAAAGATTACATGATTCTTTCCAAATGATATAGTCAGTTCATAAGGTAGATTTATAAATTACTAGATAAGATTGTTGTTTATATGGTGGAGTTTGAGTATCTTGTGATAGTGAGTTAAAGAACTAAATTTCATTTGTTTAGTTTTTTTTTTAATAGAATGCTAGAGACTTTGAAGATGGGTTTAGTAGATATGTTATCAATGCATAGGTTGCTATTTAAAGGGGATTGAGATATTATTGAAGTAAAAGTTGGAAAAAAAAGTTATTAAGGTGGGTCGGAGAAATCATTCAAGAAGAGGTATTATGGAAGATTAAATTTGCGTGTTATATCCGTTATTGGTTCGAATCCTAGTTGATTGTATTTCGAGGACGAAATTCTTTGAAGAGGGTAAAATTGTTACACCTCATTCATTTATAGTCAAAGTCAAAAAATTATTTAATCAAAGCCAAATATTCAACAAGTCAAAGTCAAAGTTAATTAGGAACTTAAATGAAATAAATTATTTTATTGAAGTTTATTTTATAATTGACAATAATTTTTATGGATTAAATTTAAATTTGGGGATGTACTTACCTATCATTGGAAGTTATATTACTAAATGTTATATTAATTAGAAGATGAGGAACCTTTG